TAAAAAAGTAAATCAGAGCTAAAAAAGTGCAAAAACGCAGGCAAATTTGCCTGCGTTGGTCTACATATTAAGGGATAAATATGGGCTTGTTTCGCTCTCTAATAAAGAATAAGACAGAGATGGTTTGCATAAAAAAGTTGATTCTTAACCCAATATACCTGATACGCCTTGCCAAATCTTACCGCCTCTACGTGTCAAGTACATTAGGTGGTTTGTGGATTGGTGTGTTGTTTTGAATAGCAATTGGGTAGTCTGCATTCCCACCCTAACAATATGAATTGCCCGGAAATGAATAGTATGATTCGAGATCTTCATTGTGCGCTGTGTAAGGAACCAACAATGCTGTTGAAGACAAACATTGACCATCGGTTGGACTATTGTACGCCAAAAACAATGACCCAAGAAAACTATAGTTTTATCTTCGGGAACATCAAAAGCTTTCAAGATCATTATTGTCTTTATCAAGCACTATGATTTGTTATTTTTCTACAATCAAGCTACGATCTGTTGCAGTATTGACTTAAGCTTGTTTTTACCCATTCGGGTACTATTCTTTATTTCTATTAAAGAAAAAAAAAAATTACAATTAGCCCATAATTTCTTAAAAAATTTGTAATTGCTAATATAAATATGCACAAAAAATATATTATAATTATTAATAACTAATTATCAATCTGCTTCTTGTAGACTATTTTCAAATTGTAAATTGCTTTCGCTCATTGTTTTCTAACACACTGTAGAAATAAAGCACCCAATTTATAACCAAATGTAATGCTTTGGCAAATATAAAAGAAGATTCTTGACAGGTGTGAATCGATTATCAACATAATCGAGTGGAATGGTATATACTCTTGATGTTTATGACTTTATCGAAAACTATATAAGGCGCAAAGTTTATAAAGTTGATGTTTTGTTAGACGTGCCAACATGCCAAGGATATACAACAGCAAATACATGTGACAACATTGGAACGCATACTTGTATGACCATAACATCAAAGAAGCTACCCTCTTAATTGTTTTTTTTCTTTTCAAAATCTCAACTGTAAGCCCCGTCATTTGCTTTTCAAGATCGTTATAATTTAATCCGTAAGTATTGTCATCACTTCCAGTCCTGTAACATTTTTCTTTTTGGAATTCTTGAGAAGATAAAATAATCATACTGATCTTTCCTTATAGAGTGGACTTGAACTAAACTATAAATTAAAAGATTAATGAATAATTTCATATATTAACCCACAAAGTAGCGATAAGCAAAAAAAAAATCCCTCTAATCAAGCCTTTATTTTTTCAACTTGAAAAATATTCATGATTCAAACATGCTATGATTTCATCTGATATCAATGAGTCACTTTTTGAAATGTCGCCATAATCTTTGTTTATAACAGTTTCATCAAACAACGAAGTAATCATAAAAAAGAATACTTCTTCCAAATTCGTATACTGCCTTTTATAGCTGAATTTTCACAAAGGTACCTTGCCAGAGCAGCTAAGGTTGCCTGCCGTAACAAATTCAGTGAAGTTGGAAGGTTGCAACCTTTTATTATAAAGTTGTAATTTTTTGCCATAATGGTAATGGGTGTAATTGTCGTAGTTGGTATAATGGTTGTAATAGATGTAATGGCTGTAATAGACGTAATGAGTCTGGTTAAATCGAGTCAAGCAGGATTAATTGCTTATAAGCAAAGATAATAGCTACAATATGATCAAATATTTATAACGATAAGGCATTGAAAAAGAAGTCGAATTAAAAGTATAAACCGCAATTACAATCTGTTACAGCAAGTACAACAATTATGGCAATTACAGCATTATGACAATTATAACTATTATGACATATTACAACTTTTGGTATAAGTTGTAATTAAGGTTGCAACCTAGGTTGTAATTCGTAATGTCCATAATTATTACTTACGGTAACCTTAAGAGCAGCGTAGCTGATTCAACTTGTAAGCCAGCCAAGAAACGAGCTTAAGAACACATCAAGTTCTTGCTTATTAGCAACTGGAGCTAGAGGTTTTCTTCGTTATATCAAACCTTTATTAGTAGTTTCGTTATATCAGGGTTAATTTAAACAAAAATTAGAAATAATCCTCGTTATCGTTATAACGAGGTTATACTGTATTCGCAACAAATGAGATCAACTAGACCTTGAGTTTCAACCAAAAGAACGCTATTAGATATTTCTTGAGAAAATAGTTGGAATTAGTAAGAGAAATTTAACAAATAAGTAAAAGAAAGTAAAAAGTAATACAAGAAAGTTTATTTAATTAAATGGTTAATAACTATGTATGGTCTGACATAACAACTCCTGCGTCATTATTTTTAATTAAATAAACTTTCTTTTACTTATTTGTTAAATTTCTCTTACTACTTCTAGCCAATTTCTTAAGAAATATCTAACAGCATTCTTTCGGTTAAAACTCAAGGTCTAGTTGATTTCTCGTTTGCTGCATCACAAGATCAGTTTCATGAGGAAAGAACATCTCTAAAATGCTAGACCAATTTGTTCTTAAGCACATTTCTTGGTTGGCTTATAAAAAAAGGTACCTTTGTGAAAATTCAGCTATATAAAATAAAGCTTGATCAGAGAGGTTTTTTTTTGCTTATCACTGCTTTGTGGGTTAATACATGAAATTATTCATTAATCTTTTAATTTATAGTTTAGTTCAAGTCCACTCTATAAGGAAAGATTGGTATGATTATTTTATCTTCTCAAGGATTCCAAGAAGAAAAATGTTACAGGGCTAGAAGTAATGACAATACTTACAGATTAAATTATAACGATCTTGAAAGGCAAATGATGGGGCTTACAGTTGAGATTTCGAAAAGAAAAAATCAATCAAGAGGGTAGCTTCTTCGACATTATGGCCATACAAGTATGTGTTTCAATTGTTGTCAAATGTATTTGCCATTGTATATCCTTGGCATGTTGAAGCATTTAACAAAACATCAACTTTATGAACTTTGCGCCTTATATGGTTTTCGATAAAGTCGTAAACGTCAAGAATATATACCATTCTACTCAATCATGTTGATAATCGATTCACACCTGTTAAGAATCTTCTTTTATATTTGTCAAAGCGTCACATTTGGTTATAAATTGGGTGCTTTATTTCTACAGTGTGTTAGAAAACAATAGGCGAAAGCAATTTACAATTTGAAAATAGTCTACAAGAAGTGGATTGATAATTAGTTATTAATAATTATAACATATTTTTCGTGCATATTTATATTAGCAATTACAAATTTTTTAAGAAATTGTAATCTTTTTTTTTTCTTTAATAGAAATAAAGAATAGTACCCGAACAGATCATAATTAATACGGGGATAACGCTCGATAGTAGAAAAATAACAAATCACAGTGCTTTACGAATGACAATAATGGTTTTCTTGGGTTATCGTTTTTGGCGTACAATAATCCAACCGATGATCAATGTTTGTCTTCAGTGTTGTTGGTTCTTTACAAGGTGCAAAATGAAGAATTAGGTTAGTATATATTAATGGTTTTATTTTAAATATATTTTAGATACTGTGATGGTGGAGTATTCAAATATATCAAATCAGATTTAAGATTCTTTAAACTCCACCTCTAAACTATTAATTTCTGGCAAGTTTTTTTTTTTTATTTAAAAAAAATTTTAATTTCAAATAATTTGAATGATTTGAATCAAAACTTCTAAAACCATTCAAAAAGCCTATAACCAATCATGCAATCACAATTAGGATCGATCAAAGAAGGTATGGCTTCACCAAACAATACTAGTAAGAAAAGCACAGGTACGAGCATTGGTTCAGAATCAACCATCACATGTTGAAAAGGCATGGGCACAGAAAGTATTTGTTCAGGGCCAACCATCACAGGTTGAAAAAGCATAGGCTATCACAAGAGAATACTATAAAGATGAGCAAGTGCAGGGCCAATTATGAAAGAACAAAAGGTATTTGAAGATTTCTCTTCAATAATTGATTTTTTTTTTTCTTAATAGAGTTTTTGTTTTTTTTTAGTGAATATTTGTAATTGCGATTTACTTTTAAAAATAAATAAATTTTTTAAAAAAAAATCACTGAGTTTTATGACCATTTTAATATTAATCTTTGTCCCGGCAAATAAAATTCATAATTACATAGTCTTTAGCGAATCCTTTTTTATGAAATGCTTTTCGCATATACAAATATATATGAAAATCATGTGATTTTCATATTGACTCCGTATGGGCTAGTTAGAACATCGTGATTATTAAAAAGTTAATGTGATATTAATAGTGACGAAATTTATAAAAATTTATGGAGCAACTATATAAAAACTGATATGTAAAAGCTTGTAAGCTATTTAGAGTAAACTGCGTATATAAAAAACTGATAAGCAACTGATAAGTAACTCATAAGAGATTTATTTTTAATCGCAGTAATCACTCCAAATCTTGTATACGATTGGTTTAAAAAACTTTTTCGCATATATAAATTGAAAATTTTAGCCCATACGCATATGAAAAAAAAAGCATAGGTTTAGGAGTCCTCATTTTCTGCTGCAAAATCCTGTCTGCTTTACAAATCAGTTTATGCGAATTATGTGATAACTTTCTTAGGTTGACGACACTTATACTGGTAAAAAATAAAAAATTTGATGTGTCAAATGGCATTACATATTCTCGACATATCGAATTTTTTATTTTTTTATATTGTCTGTTATGATTTAAAATACAGAGCCAATCAGATTTACATTGTATTTGCGACCCAACTGCTTGTGACACCTTTGTTCAACAACGGATTAATTTATAGAGATATATATATATATATATAGGGAGGTTATATTTATTAATGTCATCTGCCTTTAAAATAAGTATATAATATAATATATATATATATATATATATAGGAGGTTTTGCTACGTAATCTATATTTATTAATATCACTCTTTAAAATAAGTAATATAATTGTATGCTATGTATTGCTATTATCTTCGTTGTTCTCATTCTCATTCTCTTTCTCCTCATTTTCCTCTTCTTCATTCAACATCCATATTGGCACATTCACCAGTGGTTTATCCTCTGCAAACTCTTCTACATACACCCTATTCCAAGATAGTTTGATCTTAACCGTTTCATCATGGATCTTGTTAACATCTCTTTCAGCTTAAAAATAGTACAAGACAATACAGATATATAAATAAATTTTTCTTTTTAAAAATAATATTTTGTTTAACTTTAAATGCATATTAAAAACTTACAGTTTTTGATCTCCACTTCAAGTCTTTAACTACAATTTTTCTTTCTGTTAATTCATCATCACTATCTGTTTCCAAAACCTTCGGAGAGTGATAGCGATTATTATTCTTTATTAATTCTAAATCTTTTTTGCTTATTTTTTTTAATAATTTATCTTTTATTTCTATTAGGTGGTCAATAACTGTCTCTCTTCGTAGTCGTTTCTATTATTAAAAAAAAGGTTAATACTGTAAAAGTCAATTAACAATATTTTTACTTACAGCATATCGACAGCCATTTTTATGCCTTCTTCTTTTTTTACTATCTATTTCTTCGGGTGATTTTTGCATTATGAGAAACTCTTCCCTCTTGTGTCTATGTCGATTATATAATATTTGATAAATTACACTATTGATGATCGGAAAGGTTTCTTTATCTAAAGCTCCCATAACTATTAGAATTATGGTATTATTGATCAGATCTATTTGATCTTCGAACGTTTTACTTAGATCTAATTGCTCATTAGGCTGCAATCTTGATAGAATCCAAGTAATTTCTCTCTAAAATAAATGAATTTAACGTTATAAAGATACTGTATACATATAATAAATAATATATAATTATCGCTATCAAACATTTAAAGCTATATTTTAGGAAGCATTTTAGATCTTGATTTATGGTATTATCGCATATCAAATTGAAATTTGCGTATCACTAATACCTACTCAATATCTGGCGTAAATTTCAATTTGACATACAAAATACTTTATTCAATCGTAGTACTAATACCAAAAACTAAGAGATTGAACTATATATATACAAAGTTGAAATTTGTGTCAAATCAAAATAATTACAATACTGCTAATATCTACCGTAATAAAACGCAGTATTGGAATTTTGATTTGGCGTAAACATTGAACAATATATATACAAAGTTGAAATTTGTGTCAAATCAAAATAGTTACAATACTGCTAATATCTACCATAATGAAACGCAGTATTGGAATTTTGATTTGGCATAAACATACAAAGTTTAACATACAATTGAATAGTAGAAGTTTATAATAAAACTAAACTAAGACTTTTCTATATACAAAGCTGAAATTTGCATCATATCAAAATAATTACAATACTGCTAATACCTACCATAATGAAACACAGTATTGGAATTTTGATCTGGCATAAACATACAAATTTATATTAATAACGAAAACTAAAACTATTCTAAGCTACTAAGCTAAACTATTCTAAGATTGTACTATATATTGACAATACTTACCTGTAATGCTTTTAAGAGCTCATACAGAATATCTTTAATGGAAATATACTTCTTTGTTTAAAGTATTTTTGCCTCCTCCTCCTCTTCCGAACTAACTAAACTGGAGCTCTCTTTTCTAACTTTTTTTTTCTTCAGCATTTTTTTTATTTTTTTTATTTTTTTTTACTCTTGCCTTTATTTTTGCTATTTTCACTCTCGCTATATTCATCTTTACTCTCACTATATTCACTTCTACTCTCACTTCCACTCTCACTTCCACTCTCACTTTCACTCTCACTTTCACTATCACTTTCACTCTCACTTTCATTCTCACTTTTATATTTTCTTTTTTTTACTATGTTTTTTCTTTTACTTTTTTTCATTACTCTTATTTTTACCACTTTTGTTTTTATATTTATTTTTATTTTTACTCTTAGCTTCATATTTTAGCTTTCGAGTTGTAGTACCCGTTTTTTTGCCATCTTAAAGATAAAAAAAAAAGCAAACAAACCTTATTCGAATCGAGTTGGCAATTCAATACTTTTTATATTTTAATCATTGTCCTCAAATTTTTTAAAATCTAAATTAGCGCTTGTGCTAAGATGCAAAATTTGCTACTTTTGCACTAAACATGTAATTATTACTTTGTTCTTGAACTGATTTACATGAATGAGTAATTATATGCATATTTTAGATGATGATCGAAGAACTCACTGAAATGATAAAGAACTCGCAGAAGAAAGATATGATTACATTAAAATTTATACTTAATAAATATAAATTTATAATAAGCGATTTTGCTAAATTTGCTAATTTCAATAGCTATTTTTGCCAGAAGCCCTGATTGTTATTACTAAATTTAAGACGAAAGTATTGTAAAAACGTTATTAGTCATAATCCAAGCTAGTGAATTTTAGTACGTAGCATCTAAAATAGCACTATTTTTTAGCAAAATAGCTAGCAACAAGATGTGAAATTTGCTAGGCATGTGACTATTCCTTTTGTTCTTAAACTGATTTATATAAACATGCAATTATATGCATGTTGTCATCAAAGAACATACAACTACATTAAAATTTATAATTGACAGATATAAATTTTGTAATAAGCTATTTTGCTAAATTTGCAAAATTTACTAGCTAATTTTGTTAACTAGTTTTGCTTCTAACGACCACTAGCTCTGGTTATAATTAATTAAGATTTATTGTTACCGATTTAGAACAAAAGTAAGTTTTTAAATATATAATATAGTGTAGTGAATGATTAATGCAATAAAATAACAGGCTAATTGTTATAGAAACGACTATACTGAATATCTGGTTCAGGTTATAGAACACTCAATTGATTGTTTGTTTGTTTATTGAGGATAAGGTAAACGACAAAATAGGAAAAGCAAAGGGTGTGATTTTATTAATAATTACTTGAATGAGAAACTTCTATTTCTCTTTTCTCTTTTACAATAACAAACTATTACTACATTGTTATACAATAATTACATCACATTATTTAATTACTGAATTTTGCATTACCATTACTAATGTTACGATCATAAATTAATTACAATCAATTATATCAGACTACCGTCACACATAGGTCAATTATTCCATTCTAGAGACCCAGATTATGCGGTTTGAAAAGCATTTTTGTATGAGGTGATAATTTCAAATTGTGCGAGAAACCATATGCATACTGTATTTCATTGTACATATGATAATTATAGATTTAAGTTGATAAAAAAAAATTTAACAATTATATACATATGCTTTTATTATTCGTTTTAAATGCCCACACAAAGGCTTATTACGAATTTATGTGTTAAGTATAAATTTTAATGTAATTATCTTTTTTTGAGTTCATCTATCATTTCAGAGAGTTCTATAATCATCTAAAATATGCATTTAATCGTTTATATAAATTATTTTAACAATAAGAGTAAAATAGCAAATTCTGTATCTTACTACAAACGATGAAATAGCATTATTTTAGATGCTACTAAAATCCAGTGCTATTGAAATGAGCAAATTTAGCAAAATCATATTATAAATATATGTTTATTAAATATAAATTTTAATGTAATCATATTTTTCTTCTGTGAGTTCTTCATCTATCATTTTAGTGAATTCTTCGGTCGTCTAAAATATGCATATAATTACCGTTTATGTAAATTAGTTAAAGAACAAAAAAAAAATAGCACTATTCAGATACTACAAAAATCTGAAGACTCTAGTTTTTAGATATTTAGAAGGACCGAATTTTATGCTTGAAGGCACCCTTAGTCAATCTAGAACTTAAAAACACTTGTTTTGTTAACATTGTTTCAAGTATCTTTTTGATGCTAATTTAAATCAAGAATAATATCTTTGAATAGCCAGGAAATACGTAGATCAGAGTTCCCAAGTTTTGCAGCATCTAAACAGGACCCCGGATATTGATAGCATAAATTTTAATGTAATCATATTTTTCTTCTGTGAGTTCTTCATCTATCATTTCAGTGAATCTAAAATATGCATAGAATTACCCATTTATGTAAATCAAATTGCAGTGCTCTAGGCATTAAATAAACCATTATTAATAAATTTAACCTATTAAATATAATATTTACTGCTGTATATGCTATAAATCCAAATTGATCTAATTATTGTTATAACGCTTGTAAAAAAAAATAAATCTAGTCTAATTATCGTTATAACTCTTGCAATTGATACATGAATAGCTTCAATATTATTTTACACTTCTAAATACCAGCACGGCATGACCATCATATCTTTTGCTTCTGAATAGTATTATTGATATTTTTTATTTTAATTTCTTCTAATTCCAATATGTCAACCTATCTGAAAAAAGACCAAAAGCAATCTATTAAAACTCGATATAAAGTTAGGTGTCGCTGCAAAAATGTTGTCATAAAAACCCCAATGGGTGTATGGACGACCCAAGAACAAAAAACCTGTATGAGGAAGAAGGAGCAAATTTTCAAAGTAAATTTTCTAAGAAAAGAAAAACAAATAGGGAGGACTCTGTAAAATCAAAAAATATTCAAAATGAAATTAGTCTTAACGATGTAAAGTTGGCAATAGAATCTCGTAATCCAACACAGATAATTAGCCAAATTCAGATACCTTCAACGTTTACCAAAAAAAGAAAAAGAAATCAATTTCAAGTTTCAGAAAATAGCTATAATCTTGAGAATAACGAACATAACAATGATCACTTTGAGGATAATCACTTTGAAAATAACAAACATAACGATAATCACTTTGAGAATAACAAACATAACAATGATCACTTTGAGGATAATCATTTTGAGAATAACGAACATAACGATGATTACTTTGAGGATAATCGTTTTGAGAATAACAAACATAATAATGAATACTTTAAGGATAATCGCTTTGAGAATAACAAACATAATGATGATCACTTTGAGGATAATCGTAACAAACATAGTGATGATCACTTTGAGGATAATCACTTTGGGAATAATGAATTAGAGTTTTTAGATAATAGCAATAGAATAATAGAAAATGACGATGAAATATTAATGTCTTCAGACGATTATGAAGACATTGAAGATGTAGAAAGTATCCCAACTAATCCCTTTCAAGCTCCTAAAATTAATTTTAATGAATTCATTCCTGAACTCAATGCAAATATCGATGATTTATTATAAATTCTTTTATGGGTCTTTAAGTTTCAAGAAAGATTTCAGCTTTCATGCGTAGTAATTGACACTTTTATTGGTTTTCTTTGCCTAATTTTAAAAAATATTGATAAAAGCCGATTTGATAAGTTTCCATCAAACATCGATCTTGCACAAAATATGTTGCATTTTGATAGACAGTATAAAATATTTACTGTTTGTCCTAAATGCGATAAGTTATATAATATAATGGAAATAACACCGGATAATCAAGAATCTGACGGTTTTAAATATACGCACAAGGAGTTTCCAAATCATCCAAGACCAATTTAGTGAAATCCTTGTAGAGAAGAGCTGTTGAAAAAGATTTCAACAGTAAAAGGGCATGTTTGGCAACCACGAATGCAATACCCACTGCCAAGCATTAAATATCAATTGTCTTTAATGTACCAGCAAGATGGGTTTAGTGCGTTGCTCAAAAAATAGACCAATCGGTCTGTAAATGCAAATATTATTTCCGATATCTACGATGAAAAAGTTTGGAAAACTTTTCCTTCTCAAGTTGACGGTTCAGATGATTCTTATTTTTTCACACCAGAAACAGCAGACTCTAATTTGGGTATTTTAATAAACCTTGATTGGTTTCAACCATTCAAATCTTCAGTATATAACTGTGGTGTAATTTATAGAGTTATATGCAATCTCCCACGCGATATAAGATTTAAAAAGGAGAATATGCTCGTACTTGGGCTTTTACCAGTTCCAATGAGGTCAAATTGCATAAAATTAACCATTATTTGGTGCCAATAGTAGATGAATTATTGAAGTTATGGGAAGGTGCAACATTATCAAATGGAAAAAAAATTAGATTTGCAGTAATTTGCTGCTTATGGATATTCCAGCAGCAAGAAAATTATGTGGGCATATTTCTGCTTTATCTGGATGTCACCAATGTTAAGAGCAGATATCTAAAAAAAAATAAAAATAAAAATAAGGATAAAAAAAATAAAAATAACAATTATGAAGAATCGTTTGAAAATGGGACTTGGATGAACATATAAAGAATGCTCAAGCATGGTTTTGATGTACAACTGAAGATCAAAGAAAAAAGCATGTTTCTAATACCCATGTTAGATGGTCAGAGCTTCTTTGATTGCTATATCATAACCCAATTAAACATTTGGTCATTGATCCCATGCATTGTCTGTTCCTTGGGATATCGCAATGCCTTATAAAAAGATCTGGGGCGAAAACGGAGTAATTTCCAAATCTGACCTTTGAATAATAGCTGATCGAGCAAAAAAGATCCAATTACCCACAGATCTAGGAAGAATACCCAATAAAATCACAACCGGTGATGGGTTTTCTGGGTTTACCGCCAATCAGTGGAAATTATTTATTTTATACTATGCAATACCAGTAATGTGGGATCTTTTAGGAGAGTCTGATAAAAAAATTTTAGCCAATTTTGTTAGGGCTTGCACTTTGCTTGTATCATATATTGTTGATAATAATATATTAAACGAGGCAAATAGCCGATTGCAGATAGTTGCTAGGCTAATTGAAGAAAATTATGGGGTAGAAGCAATAACACCTAATATTCACTTTTCACTTCATATAGTCGAATGCTGTTTTGACTACGGCCCTCTGTATTCATTCTGGTGTTATCCGTTTGAAAGAATGAATGGAATTTTAGGAGCATATAAAAATAGCAAATGTCAGATTGAACCAGAGCTTCTAAAAATCATGACACAAAATTGGCAATTAGAATATTTAATTACCAATTCAAATAATAATAAATTATTAACAGCGCTTCAATTATTTGCTCCACATTCTACTGTTGGTAGCTTGGCAATGAATGATAATTTTGAAGTGGCTGAATTGGGTCAATTTTTAACGATATATAGGTTAGAAGGTGATGCAACAAATACTGGCGCCGAAGATTTCCCGAGTGAAATGATGAAATCAAAAAAACTACAAAAAACCTTGCCCGATGATATTTACGATTCATTAATTGATTATTACAGTAATTGTTATCAATTAAACTTTGCCTCTATTGGCAAAATTAATCATAATCAATCAATAACTGTTCGTCCAGTTGTAGATCAATTTGGACACATTCGGATTGGATCTGAAATATTTGGATCAAGAATGTCACCACAATATCAAAAAAGTTCATATATTTTAGCGAAATTTATTCAAGACAATAAAGTTGGCAAAATATTTTCTGGGCAGGCCCAATTCTATTTTGAACATGAAATAATTTTAAATAATAAAAAACATGTGCATAGTTTAGCATATATTAAGTGGTTCTTGCCAGCTCAAAATCACAAAACTCGATTTCATTATCAAATCGATGATGATTTAAGAAGTTTAACATAGAATTATGCAAAAAGAATTTTATGCAATGGGCAGGGATTCTATTATACCAATCCATAATATTTATAGCCATTTTATACCCTTTGACATTCTATAGGTAAACAAAATACTGAATATATTGCAGTAATACCTGTTAATAGACGTTTTCACTTGTAAAATTTTTTACTATATAATAAAGTGATATTATTCATGCCGACTTACTAAACTTCTGTTAATTAACATTATAAAATCCTTATATTCACGAGGTTTCATTAATTACAAATATTAATATTCCAGTCAGCGTTGAACGATAAAATACATTATCGTTATATCAAATTATTAATATGGCACTTCACATGATAACAAATCATGTAAGTCATATGACATAATAATCATGCATTTTATTGACGAACGTAATAATTTGATCATAGATTATTACATTTCTTTGGTTAATAATATATTATAACTAAATCGGGTATACATATTGTACATATATATAAATATATAAAAGTCTCTTATATTGCTGTATTAATAAAGTAGGATAATAGTTAAGAGTGAAGTATCATCATATTAAAGAATAAGAGATTGAACGAATCATTCTAATGATTATACTTTCTTTAATTTCCAACTATCATTAAACCTGAATCCCTTATTAAGACATCGTCCTGCACAACTTATGCAACGTCCAAAGCTAATCTGCACAAGCTCTCCCAAATTTGGCAAATATTTTACTATACTTGTAGTTAACGTTGGTGTTTTTAAAACATATTGGTTCTGTATAAGTTAAAATACTGATATTTCTTCAAAAGTTGCAGCTGTCGTCCCAATAATCATGGTTTTAATAATTAGTGTAAATAGAATATATATTGTGTTTAAATTGAATTTTAATTATAAAGTTGAATATGCACTAAAAAGTAATATACCTTTAGATTTGAGAACATTTGATATTCTGTAAATGTTCTCTGTGAAAAAAATTTTGAGAACATAATACTCGAAAAATATGTTCTCTATAATAACATAATGCCAGGTGGACGTATAGAGCGAAGTTCCGAAATCATCCGAAAAGAAATGAATGAACATAAAAGACGAGAAGGGTTGGGACTTGATCATTCATCGTCTGTAACTACAGCGAGACCACGTTTCAAATCAGCAAATTTTTGTTGAAATTTCGGTCTTTTGGCACCTAATTCTTCTTTTCACGTGCCTCTCTATAAAAGTTGATTATTTTAGTATAAACTATATAACTATATAATAACTGAGAACATTAAATTAAATTAAATAAATTTGTTCTCGTGAGAACATAAATCTCAAAACAGATAATTCGACGTCTGATTTCAGATAAAATAAGTGACGTATTTATTTAAAAATAAGCAATGTACAAATTCTATTTTTTTAAAGTATGTACTTGTTTACATAATTGCTTACTGATGAATGCTTATAAAAAAAGCCAATTTTATCTGTGTTAAAATAACGCACAGGTGTTTATTTGAATGACGATCAAAGAAGCTTTTTAGAATTGTATTTTGATCCATGACATATAAGATTAAATATCCACAGCTCTTATTGTAAAAGTTGATATCAAATTCGACAGTATGTTGATTGAACACCCGCCAAATGTTTCATTTCTAAACTACCTATCTCATCTGAATTATTAAAATTTCGAGGACATTATTGAAATATACAAAATTTGTGACTTATTCTACAAATAAGAATGGAAAATTTTTCCAAATACAAGTAAGTGTAAAGTTAAATAAAGAATAAGGGATAAGGTTTTATTTTATATCTACATATACACACTTTTCTAAGAATCAGACTTTTTATCTTTTCTTATTCTTATGCTTATACTTTCATTGTCTATGTAGTAAGAAGAGGAAGACCAGATGAGCTTCCCGCAGTTTAGTCTAATCCCGCGGAAATAGATCCAGAGTTTCGACTATAACGATAACACTAGATGATAAAGCCTCTGACTTATTTCTTCTTATGCTTATAATTAGGGATACTAAATAGAAATGTTCAAAACCTCAAAATTTAACCCTAACACTATTATAGAGGGCGTGATCGTTACTATCATTGTCTATAGGAAGACTTCCCGCGATTGAATCTTTTTCATGTTACTTTCCGTCAGAACGATAGGAAATGACACACTGAGAGCCCAAGGTATGAAGTTTTGAAATCCCGTTCGAAAAAGTTGTAGCGGTTTTGGTCTGGGGTTGGAAAGATTGATAATGCTTTTCAGCCTGAGGTTAATCATCACGCAACCCAACTCTACTGAGCTACGAGATGAAAAATAGGTTGATGTAACCAACTCAATTTTTTGACCTGGTACTTCTTTAGCGGTTATACAAAAAATTTTCATCTGTAGCTTTGGTGATAGGGCCTCTGATCTTGTATATTTATTTTCTTACACCATGGGGTATTTTATCCAGGTACATTTGATAGCTTACGGGAATGCAATCGTCGCTATCATTTTCTATACAGTAAGGAGAGGAAGACTGGATAAACTTTCCGTGGTTTAGTCCACTGAACTACAAGATGAGAAATAGTTTGAATATATTCACACTCTTTGTTCTTATATTTCTTCTGAATGATATAATGCACATTTGGGTTACTTTAACACTGAATTAGATAGTATAGATTATCAAATTTGGTTATTGAGCACATTAACACGCCTAATTGTCTGCTACGCATCCAATAATTATATTTGTGCAATTATTTTATCCCCATTTAAAGAATTATTAGAAACTGTATTTTTTACTACTTTCGTCACACTAAGGGAGTGCCGTTTATTTAGATGGTTAGCAATTTTTCACGTTAATATATTAAATATAAGCGTTATGATTGGCTACTGATTTCATCACCTAGAGAGGGAGGGTTGGAATTCTAATAAAGAGAAATATAATTGTAACAAACGTAACAAACGGCAACATCCCTAATGAATTTGTACCCGGGTACTAAATGCAGTGCCCTACAGTAACGGAATGGTTATTTTTTATATAAATATCAAATGCTGTATGTAGATCTTCTGTAGATCCTACATTGTGCTTTTCACATAGATTATTAAGATAGTTCTCAATTAAATCTAAATGGCTATAGTCTCAATAGAACAATAGGCTATAGGAAAAAATAATAATGCTATTAGTAAATGTATTGAGGAAAAATAGTGATAGAGGTTACTAATGGTAGAATTCACCGGCGATATGATAGCAGTTAAGATTAGAAGAAAATAAGCAATTTAGAAATATACTTGAATATTCGGGTCAAGTGACATACTTTATAGCGACAGTGTGGATTTGTCCCTTAGATGGACTTTATATTAATGAAGTCTAGAATTTAAAAATAATATTGTATTCCTTCTAGGATATTTTAGCATAACGTGAGGTTTAAAAAAAGGCCTTCGCAATGTATGTATTGTATGCTGTGATTAGAAGAAATCATTCAAATAGGTTATTTTATTTAAAGTCTAAAACTCAGTCTCAAGATTATATATCTAACAAGATCTATTTTATTTATACTCCATCTAGCCACTACCATTGGTTACCGTTTACGTTATGAAAATTGTGATCGAGACCTAGTTATTATTCACCATCTGGTTAATTCGTTCATCTTATGAATCGTTTTGTCATATTATTGAACAATAACATAATGTTAGCTGTTGATATTATCAAGATGAGGAACTGGCTTTTTAAACTTTTTTCTTGAACATTTCAATGCCATCATCAATCTCAAATAAGTCTTCATCACTCTCAAAAATCTGTCTTTTTATTTAGCAGATTCATTTATTGTTTCATTACATACTACTGCTTGTTCAACATCAACGTCAGGTCCTTGGCTAAAGTCTCTATACGCCTCCTTATGATCAAATGAAGTTTTAGATAAGAATTTTTTCATTTCTTATTATTGTATATGTTTTTTTTTTATTAAAATATTATCACTATTTCAGTGCGCGATTAAGGAATATATGCGATACGAATAGCATAGAATAAGTAATATTTGGATTCCATTTTAGCTTGGTTAGGTAAAGGTAATTTAACTCGGACAAAAAAGGTTCTAATTTATGTGCAACTTTATATTGAAATATTTTAATAGTTATACAAGCAATTCAGATCACGAAGCTACTTAATGAGATATATTGATGAAATATTTATAAGACAAATAATAAATCAATGAGAGGTAACAAAAACGAACTCCTGTTGAAAGACAAAATAAGAATAGATATTTCTAATTTTTTTATATATTAATATCACCGGTCAAATTAATGGTTGAACGACATCATTTGAATGCCACTCAATATGCCATCCAACCCGCCATTCAACATTATCACATGACTTTACAGACATGCATGTCCGTTAAGTCACATAGTAGTGTAGAATAGTGGCATTCGAATAATGCGTTGAATTTTTTAATTTTGACAGGTATTAGTAAAATGAAACATTTTGTAGAAAAACAGCGATGCATTTTTGCTTACATAGAAATTTCAATGAAGCAATGGACTGGAGCAGGAAAATTCTCTAGTAGAACAATGGACTAGAGTAGGAAAAATTCCCCGGTTAAATTCTCAAATTGAGCGCTGAAAATTTATACTCTGTATCTAAGAATGGTGCGCTTAATGGAAATAGAGATCCGATCAACTCACCGAAAATCACTTCGTAGACACTACATTTCACTGACAATTACTTACTGACAAGTTCATAGTTTATTTCACAGAAGCTCATTTTATAGACAAAATAATTCTGGTCAATAATATTAGGGTTAGGTTAGAATTAGAGTTAAAATTATTAAAAAAAACTTGTCAGTGAAATGAACTTCGGTGAAATAGACTGTCGGTAAAATGAACTTGTCGATGAAGTGATTGTCGGTGAAATAATACGGATGGTATTTTATGTTGATTTTATTCATCGATTTACAACTCTAAATTCAGAATTCTATAAATTTAGATAATATTCGAGTGATGATTAATTCTTGTGATGATTAATTTTATGGTGTAATTTATTTAAATATAGTTTCACATAATGAAGGTTCCGATTCTGCCACGATTCTGCTCTTTAAGCTGGTTTTTTTGTCTTTCATCTGGGCCTCGCTTTTCATCTAGGTTTCAGTAGTTTCGTTTCGTCTTTGTCGGTTTAGCATAAATAATTTTTAAGCCTATACTTATTCTTATGATTTTCTTTTTGAATATTTAGTAAACCCTTGAAACTCATTCAATTAAAGTGACGCTTCGTTTACATTTTACATATATTTATCAGAAGCTTTCAGAAAACATCTCTACTACTAAGAAGATTCCATCTGGCGGGCTTGCTGAGAATGAGGTTCGTAAATAAATACGTCTCCTACTTCTGGGTCACGGTTTGGAAATTCCTTCATATTGGTATATATATATTCTTGAACTGCTACTTATTGAAGATATCTATAATAATTGAAATTTGAACATTGAATTAGGTTGCCGTATGCTCAAGATCGGATCAAACATGTTAAAATTTTTACCATTTGCATTTATAATGATTAAAATATTTATTTCAATTAAGTTTATTATTATTATTATTATTATTATTATTTAAATAATAAAATTCTTTCAAATTTTATTTGGTAAAATTTAATTTGAACATCAAGTTTTTTTTTCTTTAAATTGGAAATACTATCGAATATAGATTAATTGCGTTGATATATTTCGAGGCTACTACTCTATGGCCATACAAATTAACTAGTACTACGATGTGTTTTAATTAGTTAAAGTAAAACAACCGCATAACTTGAACAGTTTTACTAAATTTTATAAAAATCGATTAAAAACGATTACGGTCAACTAATCAATTAATCATTAATTAATCAACTAATCAATTAACTAATTAATCAATGAATCAGTTAATCAACAGTCTAATACAATTAGTTTCGATTTGTAACATGCCAGATAGAAAAGTAATTTAAAATTTAAAATTTATTTATTTATGTCGCGTAATGAACATTTTTTAACTGTCATTGCGCAGCAAATATTTATAAAATGTGGCGAACGTAATTAATAAAATCTATCTAACCTTACCACTAACCTTAATCGTTAATCTTACTCTAAACTTACCACTAACCCTAATCATTAACCTTACTCTAACCTTACTACTAATCCTAATCGTTAATCTTACCCTAACTTTATCACTAACCACAATCCTAATCTTATATAATTTAACCTACCTACAATACTATCCCTAAACTAACTATTGTTGCATTACACATGCAGAAAAATATTCATGAAAGTAACGGTAACGGAACGAAATACTAACGACGAAATGAATTAACTGAAGACAATCTAACGACGTGACTATAAAGAAAAAAAAAGACTGGTTAGTAGAAGCACCGAAAACAAATGCTAACAAACAACCCATATGTCGACGCCAACAAACGACGAAACCAATTAACTAATGACACTTTAACAATGCATCTATAAAGAAAAATAAAAAAGACTAGTTAGTAGAAGCTACATTGCCACCTACAATGACCCCAGTAATCAAGGCGAAACGCGAAAAAAAGTAACGACAATTACGATGTCAACTATGACGGCACCAACAACGACACCAACGACAGCACCACTAACGACGACACCAACGACGAAGCAAAGAAATTGTTAATACAACGAATGTAAAATAAAAAATACTTATCTGCAGATCCTGCAAGATATTTATATGTTGATTATCATGTGATGATCTTCCACCAGTGGTGTAGTATAACCGAAAAATAAAAATAACGAAAACGACCCACTTGTGTTGAACACCAGTGGTGTGATTTAGTAAAACTGTAACTCGAATATAAGGCTAAATCATCAAATATTATAGACTGGCAAAGATTAGTTATAAACTATCACGATACAGTACTTAGCCCAGTTAGGGTGAAAGTTAGCACATCTTTTTAATTCAATTGCCTCTTGATAATAATAATGTCTTACGTTAAACAATAGACCATATATATTTTACACATCAGCGGATCTCTTCTTATACCTGTCATAAGTGGGAATGAAATTTAAGTTGATTCGGAATTTTTAAGGTTAGT